TAACATGAACTCAAAAAGCCATTTCTGAAATATTTATTTCATAACTTCGTATTCACAAAGGCCCTATCTGACAGACGTTCTACATAATGGATAAAAAACCAAATTTTTTTTAATTATGATAGGTGTTGATATTTAACATAAATTCCATCAATAATTTTCAATTCATTTTTAACCGACTTCCAAAAAAGGAGGAGGTTATCAGTTCGTCTGAATATTTATTTTTTTTATGTTCGTTACCGCATAACTTTGGACCACGGAACTTAGGTAACAAATGAAAGAAAAATTCTGTAGAATTGGAAACAAAATTTGGTGCAAAATGACGAATAGGTTTTGGAAATACCCCTTTTAAAATTGTATGCTTTAATAACCTTGAAAATTCTAATATATATTTTTTTAATTATATATGTATTAAGTACATATCAACGGCACTAAAACTTTTTTTAAATTTGACATGTTCGATTTTGGATACTCCTGTTGTAATCGTATTGAAATCACTCCTCATTACGAGCACATAGTTGGAACAGATTAACAATTACAAGTCTTCTCAAGAAATCTAAGTCCGTAGAGCAATCTTAAAATTTATACTTTTAATTTAAAAATACTATCAACATAAAATAAAATAATAATGCGTTCCAAATACTTTCAGATATATATTCTAACAATTGCGATTTGCCTTAATTTCGTCACAACCAAAGTGTTGGAAAAGCAAGCGGCTCGTGGTATCAGGTATGTAGGTATATTAGAATTTCATCTTCATTAATTACAAAAGCTCTATATTCTATACAACCTCTAGCAACTCAGCACTGCAAGCACTTGATAGCACGTCCTTTGATTACGATTATTTTTCGCCTCAGGCACGACAAAGTCAAGCACCAACTCAGCGACCATTCATAAACTACTGGAATAACCTGGTGCAAAATATACGTCTCCCAGTACCTTATATCAGGTGGAATATGACTAACCCGCTGGTGAATCTATTCAACGCCGGTGCAACCAATGTTATCGACACTCCAGTGGGAAACTATAACAAGAGAAACACAAAACGCAAGCGCAACAAAAAAACAAGAACCCAACAAGATATACTTACAAAACGCACCAAAAAACCCAAATACACAAATTCAGCTTATGAGGGAGAAGATGACCAGATGTATCAGACTACTAGTTATAATGATTACGAAGTACCATACAAAACACTCTATTTTTATGATGCGCGCACTGGTCAATATTATAAAATGCAAAATTTGCATACTAATAACTACTTAAGTGCTTACAATCCCGCTAAACAGCAGCCGCAGCAGGCGTACGAATTTGAAGAGGAAGAAGGTACTGCAGAACAGCCAGTTCGGCACGAGGTAGCTGCACAAATTGAGCCGCCAACTGCAGAATCATCTGTCGAAAGCAATAACTCTGATGATGAAGCAATGCAGGAAACTATCGAGGAAGAAACTCTTCCTGACTCACAAGAAGCAAAAGAATCTGAAGAAGTTGAAGTAATACCATCAGATATGGAAATTAGCGATGAGTCAGAAGAGGAGCCTACTCTAGGAAGACAGTCAGATCTTATTAAGCAGACTAAACAGCATAAAGTAAAAAATTTTGAAAAACTGCATAACTCACTTGCCGCTTACATGAAAGACGATCACTTCAATAGGATGCGTCAGCGGGCAAACACAAAACAAAGTTCAGGAGCTAAGCAAAACAAAGAAAAATCACTGCCTAGGAAGAGGTTCGCATATTACATATTACAACCATTTTAATGTCTAAACTAAAATTAAATATTGGTATTCACGCCGTGGTTTTAATAATAATCAGTTTCCAACAAAAAAATTCTCTGAAGAATTAAATCTCACTGGATAACCTTACAACCACGAAAGCGTGAAGACCTACCCCTATTGTATTATATTCCAGATGAAGATATAAAATTTTTACCAACTAAAAGAATAGCAATAAGTAGAAGAAACGTGCATAGAAAAGGGCAGTTGTATTACTTTTACATAGCTAAATTTAAGTTACAAGACAGCATAATTATAAACATTAAATAGTAAATTAGCTAAGAATTAAAAATAAAGAACAATTCAAAGCAAAGAGCACCTAAGGAGTGTCAACTGGCAGTACTACATAATCCACATGCTCTACATCATCGAAGTAGGGATGCGTCATTGCATTTTTAGCTGATATGCGTTCATTGGGTTCGTACAGCATCATAACCTGTGAAAAAAAAAACAATTATATTCTTACTGTGGATAGCAAAAAGTCAAGTCGTCACCTTAAAGAGATCATAACCTTCGTGCTTCAAAATAACGTCTGGTATATTAGTTTTCTCCCATCTAGGAAATTTAGCCTTGTAATCTGGTAATTGACTAACACCAGGCCAAGTATTTTCATCAGGTGTACCCAATGTGCGAAATATTCGGTATAACTGGTCGATTTCGCTATCACCAGGAAAGAGTGAACGCTTCATAATCTAAGGAGATAATAAAGATGGCTTTAATTAGTTTCTTACTTAAAATAAGTTAAATTTTCATATATCACCATTTCAGCAAATATGCAACCTAAACTCCATATATCCATGCCTGTCGCATAATATTTGGTGCCTAATAGTATTTCAGGTGCGCGGTACCAGAGCGTAACGACCTCGTGTGTATAGGCGCGCATTGGCATATTGAAGGCACGCGCCAGTCCAAAATCTGCCAACTATACAATTAATACAGAAAATTCTTAAACAATTTTAATTGAAGTGAATCAATCCTTCATGTTGATGTTTACCTTAATGTTACCAACGCTATCGACTAGTAAATTTTGTGGTTTGAGATCTCGATGTAAAATTCGATTCGTATGGCAGAAACAAATGGCATCAAAAAGTTGATGCATGTAGCTCTGTAAAAAGATACAAATAGATATTATTTCAAGAAATCAAGAATTTAAAGTACAGAAATCTTAGGTATGTAAGTAAGCCCAGCGCTGGATGACAAACAGGCACTGGCATGACCTGATTCTATTAAAAATGCATGCGACTTCAAAAAAAGGAGGAGGTTATCAATTCGGCGGAATATTTTTTATTATTATATATTTTATTTATTTATGTTACCGCATAACTTTGGACCAAGTCAACCGCTTTCGACCATTCTTTTTTTTATCGATAAGGTGGTGCCGCAATGCGGCTCTATACAAATTTAGTTTAGATCCGATCATTTGGGTCATGAAGCAGTTAAGGTAATTCTATTTTCGATCCAACTTACAAAATTATTATTTATGTTTAAGCGGTAACTTAATCATTTTTATTTTCATGACTTTACCACCAAATATAATAAAAAATGCTGACTTTATGAAGGTATGCAGGGGTACGTTTTAGAAGTAAGCCATATTAATCAATTTCCACGCAAGTCACTCCTGCAAAGTTTACAGTAGCAGCTTACCAAAGCCTTCATAAATCAGTGAATTCGCCGAGTCAATCTAATTTAACGTAAATTGGAACTACATATATAGGAAATCGAATAGGAAAAATTATAAAGATTTTGTTTTTATTTATCCCCCTTGATAACTCACCTTTACAAGTTTAGGCGTGAAAGCATCCTTTTTCTTGTCCATTAACTTCTTCAGGTCCATATTCAAATACTCGAACACCATGTACAAGCTGGAATCCGCCACTACAATATCATATAGTCGCACAATGTTATTGTGCGTTAAATCCTTGAGTAGTGAAATCTCCCGAATGGCCGTCGATGGAACACCCTCAGTTTCGCTACAAAAACAAATTACAATACTTTAGTATATTTCCCATAACATCTTTACTTATTAGTTAGATACTCAACAAGTTTCCGTTCACCATTTTTAAAGTGGCAGCATGTAAATAAGAATGTACACAAAAATAGTTTAATCAATGACCAATTAAACATGTATTGGGTAACAAAGTTTGCGTTGCTTTTCACAGCCCGACAAAGCCGAATCATGTG